AAATGCACCAAGGTGGTGACCTTACTTCCTATTAAGGAGGTCGTGCACGTAGAACCGGCTTCTGAAGCAGGAGAAGTGCAGCTGCCTCACTGCAGGGGTTGCGTATGTGCCAGTAGTGATGCTATACTGAGGTGGTGTATTCCCAGCTTGGGCTGCCACACTTCCAGTAATGTTACAGGAGGCACATACAGTATAAACTGCATCCAGCTGGCCACATACAATCAAAAGATCTAATTCTAGCATCGGCTACAGAGGACAATGTTGCAAGTTGCTCACAGTCTGTAGGCCAGGTTTTGCTTGGCCCTGTTTTATGATTATTTTAACAGCCCCCATGAGTGTGAGTTTAGTATTTAAACCTCAGTGTGCCAAATGTGACTTTTCACTAGTTACTCAAGACTTTCAGTGTGCATTACTACAACTCTCTTATATTGAATAATTTTTCAGGTCACCTTTTAAACTATGTGCATTGCAAAGGAGTAGGATAGTAAAGTTTTATTGGACTTTTCAGAGAAACAATGCCGCAAGATTAAAAATCAGATACTACTGGCCATCTGTGCTTCATTGGTTTCTGAAAAATGCTTAAATTTTGTGTTAAAGGTCTTTCCATAGATGAAAGGATTGCACAGTTATATTTCCTTTAAAAAAAATTGACTGCATGAATATTTTTTTCTCAAAGGAATTAAATCTCAGTTTCTTTGCTAAATGTATTACAGTCCTAGGTGAAATTGGATTTTTTTTCTTATGCACATTACTGGCACAACATGAATTGTATGGACTTTACAGTAACCTGTACTTTAGCTGGTCAGTGTGCTTTACCACAAAAAAAGCTACCCATTATAATGAGACAGCTTTTCTAAACATTATATTCTTTTATGGCAGTGCTACAAAATATTTTACCAGCATCTGTGTAAATCCTATAATCTTGGAAATGAAGGTGGTAAGAAAAGCTGCTGTCTGACCAGTAACTTGGAAGCATTCAGTCTATGCAGTGGTTGAGCACATGGGCTCTGCAGTAAGATATGGAGGGCTCCCTGGCTCTGTATGAGCCTGGCTTTGTCCCAAAGAACATGGGCAGTAGGAGTGCCATCCCTCTGAGTGTTTGTCTGGATGGGGAAGCAGATTTAGTTTGTGACAAAGCCTACACAAAAGCCAGTTAGCAGAGATGATTAGGGACCTACCAAATTCACGGCGGAAGTGGGCTTCACGGCAACATCTTTAATCTTGCAAGTTCCCCCATACACTCCCCACCCCCTGTTGCTGATTGGCCAAAGGACCCCAGTGGCCATGCTGCTGACTGGCTGCAAGGCAAAAACAGTGCCATATTTAAAACCACAGTTTTCACCTCCCTGCTGATCAGGAGGAAACAGTGGGGCCCTCCCACCAATTGGGGAGGAGAACCTGCAATATTAAGGGAGCTGCCACGCAACCGACTTCCGCTGTGAATTCAGTAGGTCCCTAGAAGAGACGAAGAAGCATGCTGTAATAGCATATATCCCTGCTTGGTTTTTCATCCCTCTCCCTCAGTCAGCATCAACATTATGACTAGTGCTATCATGTTTTGGGACAGAACCTCCTTAGAGGGTAGGCAAGAGCCGATCATAGACGGTATCCTACAGTGAGGTTGACCTAGCACAGGTAGAAGACTGTGGATGTCTAGTTGCTAGACATAGCCTAGAATTTGGGATTGGTGAGAAGCTTGGATTGTAGCTTCTTAGTCCTGAGAGGATTCAGACTTTCAAATCTCCCAGGAGAATGTCTTAACCAGCAGGCTATGGAAATTGCTGACCTGGAGTAGTTTCTACCCTTTCTGTTAAAGCTGTGCCACTGCAGCCAGGAACACAAGATTTACATGATTAGAAAGAAAGGGAGAGAGTGTGAAAAAGAAAAAGCCAAGTGTATAAGCAGCAGGACTGGAATCCAGGACTCCTCCTCTCCTGGGAAAGTGCACTCATCACTGGGCTACGAAGTTACCTTCCCCTTTGCTGGCTCTCTCTCTGGTTCTGTGGATCTGGCATTCTTGAAGGGTAAATTCATTAAGGATTGTGAGGTATTCAGATGCTGCAGTGATGGGGCCATATAAATAACCTGTCTAGACATCTACTCAAAGAACCTTGCCTGCCTATGTCCTTAGACCAACACAGCTACAACCAACAACCCTGTCTAGACAAGAGGATGCTACTTGGCTGTCTGAGAAAAGTATTCTGTAGAGCAATGGTTTTCAACCTGTGGCCTGCAGACTATGTCTAAAGGGTCTGCAAAAGATGACTATGATCAATCAAAGAATGTGAATACCCACACTTAAAATTCAAAGGGGTCCACACCTCCACTCAACATTTTTTTGGGGTCTGCAAATGGAAAAAGGTGAAAACCACTGATGTAAACCATTGCATATATTTGTATGTGTATCCTTGCTTGTTTGCTGTTACAACAGTTAGTGGAACAAGGTGCTGAGGGAAGCTGTGGTATCGTCTTTTATTGGAGACTTGCAAGAAGAGACTGGATCAGCATCTGCCTGGGATGGTTTAGGTATAGTGCACCCTGCACCTACACAGAGAATTGAACTAGATGACCAATGAGGTCCTTTCCAATCCTATAAGTCCATGTTTTCTTTTGCCCTTGAGTAGATTTTTCCATTGTCAGCATCTTATTTGTGTAGGTGTTCTCCAGATGAGTAGCTCCATGAGTGTTAGCACTCCGGTGTCTAGTAGAGACAGTACAGGTTTCCCTCGCCAACCACTGGGGTCAGGTTCCTGAAAGTTCCCATGGTTGGCAAAACCGTGGTTGGCAAGACGAAAGGCTTATGGGAAAAATGGCAGGTGGCAGGCTGACGCATGGCCACGGAAAGCCATGGTTACTCAAAACTGTGTACTGTGGTAGCCAAAACAGTATATAGAATATTACGTGTGGATACTCAACTGTGGTTGGCAAAACCATGGTTGGCCAGGGCAACTTGTATCACAGATGGTCAATTGTACATGAGCAAAGAAGGGGTCTTCTGCATATAAAGTCTTGTGGTCACTATAAATGAGCAGGGTGCTGTCTGCCACTGATTCTGATGCTGAATTTGTCTTTGCTCTTGGCTTACAGATGGGATTTCAATAAGAAACTTCAGCAGAATCATGAGTCAGTTGAAGGTGATTAGGCTGTTCTATGAATAGTGAGTGGGTGCCAAATAATATAGTTTGGCTCTGTAAGCCCATCTATAGATAATGGATAAGCTTTCTTTTAGGGTTAGAAAGTTCTTTTAGTTGCAATAAAATGGACCTACAGTACCAGCTTCACAGCGTTCTCTTGTTCTCATAGAAGCCTGTTCATGAAGGCATACACAGTTAATGTTACATGCAGTCTTTGTTTGCCTGCATAAAAAAAAA